TCCCCAAATTTAATGGGAATTATAATAAAATCACCATGTTTCTAAATCTGTAATCCACAGAGAATGATTTTAATTCCTGAAGGCATTCCACTGTTAGCTTTTTCAGGAACACTTACAGTGTGATTGAACCTGATTATTAAAACAATAGGTGGTCTGCTTCCTTTCTCTTCACTGAAGAAAAAAAAATTGAACCACAATTGGTAAACTAGTCTCTAGGCCCTTTATAAACTGAAAAGATTTTGTTTCCAAGCAGGACAGCTTAGAGAAGTATGGGGAGCTTGTGAACCAAGGAATGGAATGTTCCTATTATGAAACTTCAAGAGGAGGACCTCTGTGTTGGACTCTTAGCTTTAAGTGCTCACAACAAGCCTACAAGGAGGTGTAATCATCTCACATCTACAGATGAGGCAGTGGAGGCCTAGAGATGACAACTGCTTTGCAATGGTCACATGACCTGCATTTGGGGGAGTTGAGACTCGAGGCCAGTTATCTCCAGCATTCAGTGTCAGAGCAGCCACAGGGCCCACACAAAATGCTCTCAGGATCAAGCAGTGATGAAACAGGCAGCCCTTCTTGATTCCTTGCTAACCTCAGAGATTATCACCTTTTTCATTTTTATATCAGTATAAATTGAATGTTCAAAAAATGAACGTGTAAAAATTGCCATTGTTCTCAATTCTGGAAAATCCTCAGAATTATGGAGGAGTTATTTTAAAAGAGTTGTGTGGCCTTGGGCAAAGTCATGTCAACTTTCAGCCATGGTTTTGATATCTGTGCAATTAAGATAACACCCACTCACTGGTTGCTGGGCGGATTAAATGAAAAAATAGATGTAAAAGAGCTTAGCACCTTGTCAGTGCTTAATAATTGTAGGTCCTCTTATTTCCTGCAATAAATATTATTGAATAAACTAGAGGCCCAATGCACAAAGATTCATGCAAGAATAGGCCTTCCTTCCTTCCCCTGGCTGCCAGCACTGCCTTCGATCCAGCCCGGAGCTGCCGTCCGCCTTCGCTCACTGCCCAGAGGCCTGGAGCGGCTGGGTCAGGGTGGGGCAGAACACCTACGTTGTTGCCATGGCGACGATGCAAGCATCCAGGCTACTGCCATCTTTGTCGATTTGCATATCCCCTCTTTATTGGCTGTGTTCGCCACCATCTTGGTCGTGAAGTGATGGTCAATTTGCATATTCTGTCTCTATTAGAGAGGATGGTATTTGCACAATAATATAGCTATTGGATATGTCCCTTGAGTTTGGTGCTGAAACAACTCTGTATCCAATCCCCCCCACAACCTGGGTGGTAGGTACTACTTTTACAGAAGAGGAAACTGAGGCTCAAGGAGGTTACACAGGAAGTGGGATGACTGAGATTTGAACCCACACACACTGAAGTCAGAGGGCACATTTTAGCTATCGAGCTATCCTACCCTCCAGGAAATAAGCATGGATAGACATTTCATGTGGCCAAGGCTGACCTTGATGACTTGCTTTTGCTCTTTTAACCCCCATCCAACTCCTTCTTGGGAAATGAATGATGTTTGTGTGAGTTCCCCACTCTCTTAAGGATACTATACTCAGAAAGCTTCATCAATTGCTTGCAATTTTGCCTGCTCCTCATAAACCCTCAAAAGCAAGCCACATGAGGTCACCAGAGCAAGTGGCAGATGTGATGCTCTGCAGTGCCCACAGAATAAAGAGGATATCAAGGTTTCCTGGTCTTCTCCAACAGAAGAGGCTTCCAGAAGGAGGCACTGTGGGACACCTCTGACACATGGTGTAGGTCTCACACCAAGGCCTGTGCACAGAAACACTTTCTCCATTTTTTTATCTGCTCCTCTAAAGGAAGGGAGGACCCAAGGAAAGAGGAGGGAGGGAGGGAAGTTTATTGTCACATCTTGTTATTAGGAAGCAAATTCTTCCACATCAATTCTGAACCAATTGCTCTGCTGAGAACAAAGAGAACCAAGCATGCCATGGCTGCCGTGGGATGGCTGGCTCCATAGGACTGAGGGCAGGGGCTGCGCACAGGCCATGGGTTCTGTCTGTGGTTCAAGAAGGGCTGTCATGGCAACGGTTAGTGTCAGGTGTCTGGGGCTCCCCAGATTCATGTGGCTAATATTTCCTGTGTTCTGAGCTAGGTGTGGAAGCATAGAAAATAAACATCACAAAGCCTGACTTTAAAGAGTTCCCAGTTACTGGAGAGGCAAGCACACAATGGATATCCTATAGGATCCATTAACACTTTCTGCCACTATCTAGGGAGCATCTATTCTGTGCCGGGTACTGTGCACCATGACAGGGATTCAGAATGACCATGAAGCTTGGAGTCTAATGTCATAGTCTACTGTTGAGGATGCTGAGAGAGCACAGGGGAGAGTTTCTACCCAGACGTGGAAAAATCCTGATACGTTGTGTGGAGATGCCAGGACAGAAGAGGGTAGAAAGGAAGCTCCGTGCAGAAGGAAGAGCATGATCAAATGCACGATGGCATGAAACATTTTATACATAGGACACTACAAGGCTGGGTGTGTGTGTGTCCATCCTTCAGTGGTTGGTCCTTAAGATTGAACTTGGAGCCCCTGGAGCACGGGCTATAGCAGCTCCATAGGAAGGTGATGGGCCAGTCCAGGCACAGCTCCTGGAGGCTATGAGGAAAACCATGTAACTGGGTATGTCCTCTTTTACATGTAGTCATCCTCATCCAAATGTCCTCCCTTGGCAAGTTCCCTGGAGATGAATCTCACGCCCCTGGTGTACAATCTCTGCTCATGGCGTGCTCTCATAAACCCTTTAAAGAGCAGCTTGTTCAATTGGGGGTGGGGTGAGGGGGGAGGGGAACATCTGTAATACCTTCAATGATATACATTTTTTAAATTTTTTAAATTTATTTTATTGATTTTTTACAGAGAGGAAGGGAGAGGGATAGAGAGTTAGAAACATCGATGAGAGAGAAACATCGATCAGCTGCCTCCTGCACACCTCTTACTGGGGATGTGCCTGCAACCAAAGTTCATGCCCTTGCCTGGAATCGAACCTAGGACCTTTTAAGTCTTCGGGCCGACGCTCTATCCACTGAGCCAAACTGGTTAGGGCAAGATACATTTTTTAAAAAAGAAAAATAGCGCAGCTGGTTAATGTGGGGGTTCAGTTATTGAGCATGTGGCGAGGTTGCCATGCAGGGAGATATGCTCCCCCACCCATCCCCCACATGGACCAAACATCTCCTTTCTTCTCTCAAACATCAGTCAGGGCCCTCCTGCAGGCCAGGCTCACATTGTCATACTTGGTCATCACTCAACTCTGTAGGGTCAACGCAGTGGCCCCTATTTTATCAATGAGGTGCCTGGGGCTGGGAGATGTTCACTAACCTGCCCAAGGTCTTTCTGTCCTGATAGAGTCAAGCTGAGATCATAGCTGCGTCAGCTTCACACATGCTTCTCTGAGGCTCTCTACACATGCATCCTTGGCATTCAGGCCTCAGCTCAGACGGGAACTCTCTCGATCTAAAGAGGCCCCCTCTGCCACCGCTTTTCCTTTCATAGCACTAATCCTCTCTGCTAGGACAGCCCCAGCTTCTTCATCATCTGCCTCTCTCCCCCAACTCCATGAGGCCAGGACCTCTCTGGACTCCTGTACTGCTCTATCCGTGATGCTCCAAGCAGAGCCTGGGACTTGGAAACCCCCAACCAATGGTTGCTTTGTGAACAAAGCCATCTGGCTGGCCCCTAAGCCCGGCCCTCTCCACTCTACTGGTGTTGCTCATACTGGTGGCCAGTGGCCCACTGGGAGCTTGTGAGGAGCCCCCTGGTGACTGAAGACTGACTTTCTGAGTCAAGGACTTTATGGGCTTCTCATGGGTCAGGGCAAGCAATTGCATAGATTTTCATTTCTACTTCAATAAAAGGACTGTCCAGCAACATTCTATGTGACAAACATTTGAGATTCATAAATGAATAGATTTCATAAGTGATGTTTCTGGATGATTCAGACTCACTCTTCTTTCTACCCTCGAGTCAGCTTTAGGGTCGCACCGACCTCTCGGACGCGCATCCTTGCAGAGCGTAGGATGCTCGCTGTTGTCAGCAAGCACTGGTACCGGTCGCTGTGAGTGTTGCTCTGCATGGGCTCTGACTTTCAGTCGCTGGTATTGCTGTTTCAGTCAGCTCATGTGTTCACTCACTCTTAGTGTTTATGTTGGTTGATTGCTGTGTTTCGTGTGGTGCCACCTTAATTGTGATTTTATTCCTCTCTAACGCTTTCTGGTCCCCAAATTATGTTTTCCACCAAAAAAACAGTGAGGACCATCAGGCCTATGAAAGTGGGTCACAGTCCCAAGTGTTTGGGAAAGAATCCTTGCACCCCACCTCAGGACCTCGCGTGATTCGTGAACCACCATTTTTTGTTTGTTTATGACAAGACATGTGCGTTCCTAAAAATCGACACACTAGGGAAATGAGGAATATGGGTGAGGGGCACAACCCTCAAAAACATCATCAGTGACGCATAACAAGGAGTGAGAGGAAAAACATTAGCACGATTTTACTTGGATGGCTTCATGGCTAAGAAACATAGGTGCTACAGTAAATACGGCACTTTGCCTGGAAGAGGCCTGGCCTTTGCTCGTGGAGGTGGCCATAGGAAGGGTTGCGGCTTGTGCGGTACTGTGAACGGGTGGGAGGAGGGTGGTCTGAACGGGATGGAAAGTTGTAGCCACAGGTGCAGTGGGTCCAGCTCCTAACAAGGTGAACCGAGGAGCTGGTAGATGTTGGAGGTGTGCACGTGTTGTACATTGCTGAATGGTCACTTCAGCTGGGCAGTCTCCTGCAGTCGCCCAGTATGTCTCAGCAAGGCAATTTTGCTTAAACAAATGGGAAATTCCTGTCATCGAATGATTCCCTCATATGTGAGTTGTGTTGGAACAAATTCACGTATTGAAAACAAGTGTCCTAGCGGAACTGGCTGTACCCGATTGACTTTCCTCCTCCCCTTGTTTATTCAGACTGGACCAAGAGGATCGAGTACCAGCCTGGCTCGGGGAGCGTGCCCCTGTTCCCCAGCATCCACCTGGAGACGTGCGATGGAGCCGTGTCCTCCATCCAGATCACCACGGAGCTGCAGACCAACTACATTGGGAAGGGATGTGACCGGGAGACCTACTCGGAGAAATCCCTTCAGAAACTATGTGGTAGGTTTTCCCCTGTGGGGGTTTTCTTTAAGTAATTGCTTTTAAATGATATATACAAAGCATATCTGATTATACTATGAGAGTGTCAGCCCTTCCCACCTCGTTGTGACTCCTGGATGAATATTAAGTTTATTTCGTGTGGTTAAAGGGTCAGAAGGCACAGCTTTTGGCATCAGACACACCTGATCTGACCCCGCCATTTACCCATTGTGTGGGAAGGGAGGCGACAAACAGAGATTAATGGCACAATGTGTTTAAGAGCACTTAGCGCAGGGCCTGAAGAGAAATACGGGTTTCCTCTCGCTGTTGGTTTATAGAGGCACCTGACAATATGAAGGGTGCTGTCAGTTACCTGGGGAGGGAGTGGGCTCCTCTCCCCTGGACCAGCTACATAATTTGTAGGGCCCAGTGCAAATGAAAATGAGGGACTCTTATGCAAAAAATCCTGAAGAATTTTAATAATAAAATCACAAAGCATTCAACCAAGCTGGGGTCTCTGTGGGGCTACTCAGGTCGCATGCTGGTAAAGCCCGGCCTGGCTGCCCACATCAGAGAAGAAGGGCTTGGGTGGGGAAGGGGTGGGCAAAGTGAAGGTGTCCAAGTGTGGGGGAGGGGCCTGCCTCTGTGAGCGGGGAGATGGCGCCACAGGAAGGAGCAGGCTGGGAACTAGGACAAGGGCTGAGAGCGGTGGCGGGGGGCACGGGGACACTTAGCTTTATTGAGCCCCTACTTAATGCAGCCTGCCAGACTCTTCACATGCATCACTGTATTTACTTCTCTCGTCCTCACTGTGAGAAGGATGTTATTCACCAACTTTAAAGATGGAACATGTGAGGCCCAGAGAGGAAACATGACTTGTTCAAGGTCACACAGATAGAAAGTGACAGAGCCAGAATGCGAAGGTGGGCCTCTCAGAAGGAAAGTCTCTTTAGCTCGGAATCCGAGATGCTAGGCCAGGCCTTGGGAGCTAGGATGGGAACCCGTCCAGTCAGCCTGTGGAATGAGAGGATGCTCGTTATGGTGGGAATGGTCCCGAAGACATGGTGAATGAGATTGTTGATGTGTTGATGGGCTTCATTCATCCCCACCCGAATATGTGTTATTCTTTGTTCTCTTCAAAAATACTCAGGAAGTCACTTTGACTCTGCAGCAGTGCTATAGGGAGCTTAGTCTTGCACCAGGCCTGTATTTGGGGGCAACTACATTTCCACAAAGGGAATGGGGGCTCCTGAGCACAGTCTAGCCTGCCATCCCCTCCTGGGGGTCCCTCCACTACTGCCTTTGGAGCATTTCCCCCCATCAACGTTATTTTACACACACACACACACACACACCACCACCACCACCACCACCACCACCACACCACACCCCACACCCCCGCCATCAAAATGCTGGTTGCCCAAAGAGCCAAGTGAAACGTTTGGAACTGAATGTGAAATAAACCCTGCTTGGGTATCACTGTGTTTCATTTCCTATGTCACCAGGCCGGCAAGGAAGGCCTGTGGGAACACAGACTTCTCCAGAATGATGTAGCTGAGCAGGGACATCACCACACCGCCCACATCCCAAACAGCCCTTGCGAAATGGATTTAAGGGGCCCGCAATATTCCGAAAACTGCCTCCAGTCCTCTCCCGCACTCTGCGGACAGAGAAGCCACCCCGGGGGACATCTTACTTTGAATGAATATCCCATTTCGCTCCCTGTGCACCTAAATGATCACCCAAATTATGAGTCCACGCGACCCCGCGCCACCCTGTGGGTTACAGCCATTTCCTAAGCTCCTCCAGGTTGCAAGGCGATGATGGAATCAGCTTGTTAAAGACCAGGTGGGCCCAAGGGCACACACTTGTGATTTGATTTTGAATGTTGCTGGGAGAGATGAGGAGATAGGGAGAGTGAGAAGGATTTTCTGTGGGAAGAAACTTTAGCACAAAATTGCATCTGGTGTTAACACAGCTCACTCCTCTGGGCTGCCAGCTCGCCTTGCAGGAGGGCAGGTTAATTCGGTCAAGAAAGCAGTTTCCCTAAGGTGCGTGCAAGATTATCTGGTGCTCAGAGAGAGTCTTTGTTGAGAGGTCTTTTTGGTGACCTTCCCGATAGTGCCACCCTCTGCACTGATGGGAGCTCTGAGTAGTCTGATGGGCAGGGCCAGACCAGCCGCCCTATTCCGAGTCTGGGTCTTGAATTCTGCTGAGGTGGAGCTCAGGGAAAAGGGCAGAGGCAAATGAGGGGGACTCAGATGCCCATCTAGTGCGAGAATCTCCTTCAGAACGAGGCAGCTCATCAGGCCCCGTGGTTTCTGCCAGCAAGGGAGACGCAGGCTGATGGCTCCTCAAACGGAGCCTGGGTTGTCATCTCTGACCCCTGCGGGACCCCGAGGTGCTGGAGATAAGCCTCTGTGTGCCTTCGGTACATGGTAGGCAAGTTTCTCGCGGGGTCTCTCAACCAGGGAACTGCCATGACACCGTAAGCCTCAGCATTCACGCATTTTTTTATTCTGCAAATCTTTATTTGGGTGGAAATGGGGAGACCAATTAGGATGTTATTGCCACAGTCTGAGAAAGAGATAACAAGCTCTGAACCCGGGCAGTGGCAGTCTGGATGAATTTAAGACAGAGTTAGGAGGCCAAATCGGCAAGATTTAATGATTCATTGGCTGTCACGAGTGAGAAAGAAGGCATCTAAGATGACTCCTGGACAAGCATCTAGCTAGATGAGGGTGCCTCCCATGAGAGCTAGGAGCCCAGGGCAAGAGCAGGGTTAGGGGGCAATGGTGGCAGTCACCTGTGGAACCTCCAGGTGTGGTGCCTCCCTCTAGCCTTACCCTCGACCCTCCTGAAGACCTGCCTCCACCTGCCCATCCATCCTCACGGCCCATTTCCCCCTGATGTTCTGCCTCTCTTGGCCAGCATGGCTCCTTTATCCCCGCGCCTGGCTTGTTCCCACCCGTAAGGCTCATTCATGTTTCCTTCTGCTAGGATGCTCTCCCTCCTCCTTCATCATTCTAAACCCTTCCCTTTAGTCAATATTCTCTGCCCTCTGTGCTCACTGCGTGGCCGCCCTGGGGTCCTGCCCTTGTGCCTTTGAATCCCCGCATCTCTTCTATGATGCTGAGGCTGTGTAGGGACCTGGGCAGAGGTGACTCCTCAGAGGAACGCGGATGTCTGGTCATTGCCCACCTGCTTCCTCCACCTGCAGCATCGGCTCCGTGAGGAGCAGTGATAGCATCCTGGTTAGGGGGAGTCAGACAATAACTGCACAAAGCCTGCTGTCAGGAGGTAGCTGGCAGGTGCAGCAGCACTTGAAATGGCCTCTCTGGTTTTTTGCTTGTTTTCATTTATCTTTATTGTTGAAAGTATTACATATGTCCCCTTTTTTCTCATTGACCCCTTCTAGCCCAAACCCACCCCCCACCGCGGCCTTCACCACCCTATTGTCGCGTCCGTGGGTTATACATAGTGCATATAAGTACTTTGGTTGATCTCTTCCCACCCACCACCCACCCCTGCCTTCCCTCTGAGATGCCGCAGTCTTTGTTCCCAGTGAAATGCTGGACGCTGGACGGCAGGCGTATTGCTGCCTGAGGTTTATACACTGAGACTCTTCCACTCCGCCTTGAAGTAAAAATAATCAGGGCCCCGAACCCGTGTCCCCTTCATCTTGTGGGGCTGGACGTAGCCCCTACTGCCCTTGCTTTGCAAAGAGCCAGGCTTCTTGGAGAAGTTGGGCAAACTGCATGCCATTTCCTCTTAATTCCGAGATTTAAGATGAAGGTCTCTGCCGTCTCAGCACCTGACTTTCCAGAGGTGAAGTGTCACAGAGCTGCCTTGAGTAGGAAATGCGTGGGGAAACCTTTCGGAAGACCTCTTGGCCAAATTAGATTTGACATTAACAAGGGCCCAGGAAAAGGCCTGTTTCAATGACCTTCAGTCACTGCATATTACAGTAAACAGAAAAGTAGTTTGTGACGCACATGCCTTCAGAGCCCCGAGGCCAGGGGCTGCTCCTCCTCGGGATCACAGGAGTGCTGGCAGCGGTGGCACCTCCCGCACCCGTCACCCCCTCAGCTCTTTTGTACGTGGAGGCGTGAACTGCGAGGACAGGTCTTGTTGAAGGAAAGGCCACAGGATAAGAGCTATTAAATTAAACGATGGATCTTTCAGAGCAGCTCAGGTCACTGGACATTACGTTGTTCTCAGAATTCACACACTTGTGAGCCAGGAGACTTTCATAGGGGATCCATTCATTCATTTAAGTATTTGTTAATTCAACAAATACCTATGGAGTGTCCACATGCTGTAAGGTAAGAAGACCACTTAATTCAGGCTCCTGGGGAAGACAGACAGGCCGAAAACTACATGTGGCAGCATAATAGCTGCCCTCACCGAGAATCACCGACAGAGGTTTTATACCCTCAGAATGGCCCCACTGCAGGGAGCTGGAGTCTCCAGTGCACCCCTAAAGAGCTGGGGCTCCCAAGGGACAGAGTTGGTCCCCTAGTCATAGCCAGTGCTTCCATTCCCAGAGAGCTGAAGTGGGCCTCTTACTTTAAGGAAAACTTGTGCACACCCTTTGGGAATGTGATTAAATCATTAGTCATACAGCAGCCAAAAGCTGCACACACTGACTCACAGATCGCGACAGTGAGCAGTGAGTTCCTCTCCAGATATGCCTATTTCTTTGAGGTTTTTCAGGCAGCTACCATACAATACAGCATGCCCCCTGTCCTGGGGAGAAGCTTTTTGCCTACAGTGACCTTGCCCAGGCTGGTAGCAACTGGTTATCTGTGGTCCTGCTCCAGGAACCTGACTGACCGCTCACCCAAAGCCCGGCTCACTTCACCTAAAGATCCTAGTTTCTGATTCCAAAGCCCTGGAGGAACCCCTCTTGTCCAGGATTCCAGAGGTAGAATGATAGTGTGATTGTAGGAACCATAGGGTGTGAGCTCCTGAGAGGACACCAGAAAGTTGTCCGTGTCCACACTGAAGGTATGCAGATG